ATATTAGGTCATGTTAATGTTGATAAGATCAATAAATTGATAAAGGATAGTTCTTTAAATTTTCTAAATTGGAATATTTCTTAACTTGTAAATATTGTCTAAGAGACATATGACCAAACTATTTTTCTAGAATAGTGCTAAAGCTCTTGTGTACTCTTGACTTCATACATTCAGATGTATATAATTCTTTAAATGTTAAAGCAATAGTTAAATATTCTTATTTTATAGCATTCATATATGATGCAATTATATATTGTTGTATTTATGCGATTGCATCATAAATTAGAATGTTATTGAAGTTAAAGAGGAGTTTGATAAAAGTATCAAAGTCATCTGTTTTGATCCAGAGGGCAAGTTCTTATTCTTAGGAGTTTAAGAGATTTATGAACAAAATGGAATTGTTAGTACTTTGACATCTACTAATTTATCACTCCTAATTATTTGTCTGAAAGATGGAACTAAACGTTATTCGATATGGTTAGGTTTATACTGGGCATTTACATGTTCTTATTTTCTAATAGGTTATGCATTGGAGATTGCATATTATTTATTATGTAGAATTCCTGCCAAATTTTTTCTTTCACTCCATATTAGACATGGAAATGAAGAAAATTAAGTGTACGACGCTTGAAGATCTGGAGTTGTCATATTCTCATGAGAGAATAAAATATGGATAAAATGGGAGTCTAAGGTAAATAACATCCTACTAGTAGGTTATCCTAAAGAAAGTACTAGGTATTATATTGATAATCCTAGTGTGTTTTTTTAGACAATAATTATTACTAGAAATGTGTTCTTTTATAAAGTCAAGCTTAATGATTAGGATTTATATAACTCAAGAAGAAAATATGTTTTCTTTAGTGGGAGAGTTATTTAATCTAGTGGGAGAAACTTCAAATGAGTTGAAGATTGTATAAATTTAGTGGGAGCTTTAAGTAATAAAATAAATGGATATTTACTTACTAAATTTATTGTTGAATCACTGATTACAATTAGGAGATCATATAGGATTTTCATCCACCTGTATAGTACAGTAACGTTGTTAAAATATATTTGATGAAAAGTAACAAGGAGAATAAAAATCCTAAAACTTACACAAAAGTCATGTTGGACATGATTTCATATAAGAGAGCTGATGTCGCATTTGATGACAAACAGTTATTAATTGTTGAAGAATTTTTTCCTCTAATTGTAATTTTATAGTTCATAAGGATCCATTTAGTCATTTCAACGTGTTATGAATATAAAATATCAATAAATGGATTTTAAAATAACTTCTTGAATGGATATCTTTAAGAAGATATTTACATATTATAGAATCAAGTATGTAAAATTTAAGAAGATAAAATTGATTAATTGAATCAATTAAAGTTATGAACTTAATCAATCAAACATTCATTTTGATGAAATGATTGATCATATCCTTTAAAAGAAATAATGTGTGTATAAAGAACAATAAAGTAAGTCCATTATATTCCTATCATTGCATGTTGATGACATATTGCTCATTAAGAATGATATTTTAATGTCATGCTTAAACGTATGATTTAGTTCTTTATGAAGGATTTTCTTTTGACATTCTATATCGTAGATTTAAACTCTATATAGATAGAGAAATAGATATATAGAATTGTCACAATCTACTTATATGGATAAGATCCATAAAAGATTCAACTTAACAAGATTCCAAGAAAGGAATGGTTCCTATAAGACATAAACAATCACTCTTTAAGGAAATGTGTCCCAAAAAGGTTGCTATTGATCTTGTAAGTAGTTTTCAATCCAATCCTAATAACAGAAATTCTGTTTCGGGTTATATTTATATCATTAATAATAATAGCAGAATATGTAGTGCCATGTTAAATCATTAAAAGAAGGAATATGGATTAATAAGTTACTCCATAAGCTTAATATTATTTCTTGTAATAATTTTTTTTCTCATTATTATTTGATAGTAATGGATCTGTTGCAAGAAGCTTAGAAAGAAAAAATATCTTATTAAAGGTTAATAAGAAGAAATATGTTATGCTTTAATAGATGGCTAAGCAGATAACATTTAATGTCCTTTTATAGACCATTGTCTTAAAATTGTTGAATATCATATCTCCATGATAGTATTTTGATGATAACAATTTATACAATGTGTGTTATACAAATGCACTAACTTTTATATGTAGATTTCAATATCAGAATATGAACAAGTGCAAGTTGATTTCAAAGCATTATGAAGTGAAGAAGATGAAGAACATATGAGATAATGTATTTTACATTTTCTTTACTTAGAATTATTGTACAAGCCTTGATCACACACACGCACACACATAATATTAGAACACACTAACACAGGCTTAGTGTGTTGGTTAACTATAGAAATCCCCTATGTTAACCATTAGAATTATAGTTAAAAACTTTTTATTTCATAATTTTTACTCTTAGTAGTCGACTAATTAGAATAGTAGTCGACTACTCGTGTATAAAACTTAAATATATGTTTTTGTTATTTTACAGTAAAGTCGACTAATTTACATTATAGTCGACTACTTAAGTATTTGACAGAAACATAAGTTTCTGTCATTTTATAGTATAGTCGACTAATCAACATTATAGTCGACTACTGAAGACAAATTTTATTTTACAAGTTTCTATCAAAATACAATGTAGTCGACTAATGAGCATTGTAGTCGACTACTGAGAAATTTTCTAAATACACAGAGTCTGTTTGAACTCAGTGTAGTCGACTAATATGTATTGTAGTCGACTACAGATACAGTTTTTTCAGAATTCAAAGTTTGAATTTATGACTGTTTATAGCCGTTTTTAAATATTTTTAAAGTTTAAAAATTATCTTTTCAATGGCTATAAATGGGTTATCTGTTCAGAAAAATGGTAGAGACTTACATACCCATAAGCTTTGATCTTTGTGCTTTTTTTCAAGTGAAAAATATTCAGATTTTGAGAAAAAGAAAAGTTTCTGAAATTGCCTTTGAACATCATTCAAATACTTATTGTTTAGGCAATTTACAGAAGTTAGAATCATTCCTAAGCCACTACTACACTACACTACAAATCAATGCTTATAGGAATTAAAATTGTTGCTTCAAAAGTTCTCTCAAGTTGTGAGAGGTGTTAATCTCTTGGTTTAGAGATTGATGTTCAAATTGATAAGGTGTTTGTCAATTGGTGTTGTAATTTACAGGGACTTGCAAATTGGTCAGGTTTGTTTTTGATTTTGTAAGTTTATTCAAAATCATAGTGAAAACTCTCAAGCGGGATTTGCTTGGGGACTGGATGTACACCGGATTGGTGGAATCAGTATAAAACCTTGTGTTTGTGATTGTAAATTTCTGAGATTGTCATTTTTCTTTGCAATTTATAATCTACTTTGCATAAATCTTAAAAGAATACTATTCACCCCCCTCTAGTGTTCTAGTGTATGTATTTCAGATCCTACAAAAATGTTTTTGACAGATGGGAGTAAGGGTTACATCTGATTGGATGTTAGGGCAAGTGCGAGATTGTTGGAATAGTAATAATAATTTGCCCTTGAACATCCAATACATATTATGTAATAATATTGTAATGTTAATAAATTTAATTGTTGCACATAATTTGGGTATTATTTATATATAATTGTTAGATATATCCTTAGAAGTTATTTTGTTAGATCATGCACTGTGATGGTCACTTGCTTGGAGATATGATCTAACTTAGAAACTTTCTTAAATTTGTGCTTAACATATAACTAGTAGAGGATAACTTTATTATAACAGGTTATTATGCATGACACCGATATATGAGATATGGTGGTGGGTCTCAACCATCGAGAATGGAGATTCTCCGGGTGTATGTCATAAGCACGCATTATGATGTGTGTAGCACTAGACCGTATTTGAATTCTCTAGGATGAGTCACCTAAGAGATAGAGAGTTCAAATTGTTACATGGTCCCTTTGACTTGATGATATTGTCATTTTCGATTTAATAATTTAGTATGCTTTGACGTGACGGTTAAGCTTGTTTAGTAAGCGCTACACAACCTGAAACATTGGGTTGCTAAATTTTATTTAGGAAAATGATGGATGTCTAGATAGGATCCAGTATGCTCATTATGATGAGTTAATTTATTATGCATTCCCATGAAGCTATTAAATTCCCGTCGGCAGGTAGTTTTGAAAATATTTTTAAAAATTTACTTTCTTATAAAAATAAAATATTTTGATATTTCATAATGATTTTTATTTATGTTCATGGGAATTGCAAATTTAGGCATGAGTAAATAGGTGAGTTGTCCTGCTTAAAAGAGTTGCCTAAAATAAATGATACTGGAAGGGAGTGAATGTAAAATATTATTTAATCACATATTATGGAAGAGCTTTTATGAACAGTTGGTCGGATAGGGATTTGATTGTTAAATTAAAATTATTAATTTGATTAATAATTGGTTCTCGATATGAGACCTAATTGGTCTCACTAATATCATTAGAAAAGATATACATGTAATACAATTCTATTTCCATCCTTAATTGTTATGGATAAAATTTTTGAACAAATCTATTCTATCTTATGGATAAAGTTTTTGAACAAATCTATTCTATCTTTAATTGTTATTGATAGAGTTCGAAATAATTATGAATTGTTTAAAGTTAAAATCTCTAAGACTAGTGTAATCCTATAAATAGGGTTCATATGTTTTAAAGTTAAAATCTCTAAGACTAGTGTAATCCTATAAATAGGGTTCATATGTAGCCTTATGAGAGGATATAGATGAGATTGAAAATCTTATGAAGGGTTCATATGTAGCCTTATGAGAGGATATAGATGAGATTGAAAATCTTATGAAGATAATATGAAGAAATATATTTTTGAGAACCTATCTCTTAGTATTTTTTTTTGGTCAATGAAAAATATTTTATTCATCACCAAGTTTTGAAATGAGAGTGCTATAAAAACTACCAGAGGAAAAAAACTCTAGCAATCAAAATTAGAAAACTCACAAACTAATTACAATTTCCCTATTTTATCTCTCAAGTGTTCAGGAATATCTTCATTTAGAACTTTTAAGAGCAAAGAAATCTTCACTTCTCTGACCAGTTGATCAGGACTACGGGTTTTTTGCTGAAAAATCCTCATATTTCTTTCCTTCCATATCCAGTAGACAGTCCCAGACAATACCATTCTTTTTAGCTTCTTCATAAACCCAACACCCCTCAAATTATTGTTGTACCATCCTAAAACATGATCCCAACTACAAGACCTCCATGAAAGCTCTAACCATGCCATCAGTTTGTTCCAGACATAAGAAGAGTATCGGTAATAAAAAAACAAGTGATTTCTGGACTCTAGATGATTACCAATATCAGCACATAGAATACATTGATTAATGTCTAACATACCCATACTACACAACCAGTCTTTGGTCAGAAGCCTCGATAGGACTGCAAGCCATAAGATTGCTGAATGCTTGGGGTAATGTAAGCCTCCCCACACTATATTCACCCAGGGAGTAAAAACTATGAATTGAGAAATAGCATTGTAGACTAATGAAATTTTCATTCTACCATTATTGTGACAGTTAGCAATGATTCTAAAAAGATTGTTCACATTCCCAAATCTGCTTATTGCCATTTCCCTCACCTTTAGAACTTGTCTCCACATCCAAGAATCATTTCTCTTTGGTTGCACTTGCCAGATATCCTGATGCTTTAAGTAATGTCCATGTACCCATTTTATCGACAAGAGATCCTTTTTAGAGTGAATCATCCATATCATTTTGATAGCAGCAGCATAATTCCACATTTTAGCAGAGTATAGACCCAATCCTCCTAACTTTTTAGCGTTACAAACCTCTGCCCAGGAGACAAGGTGGATTTTGCTCCCACACAAGAAAGCAGAACATAACATATCAATTTTCTCCAGCACCTTAATTGGCAAAATATAATTACTTGTCCAATGTATTTGAATCCCCAATATAACAGTCTTAATTAGTTGGATTCTCCCAGCATAAGATAATTTTTTCCTGCATTGCCAGTTTTGAAGTTGGTCTGATATTTTTGAGATCAGAGATGAACAGTCCAGAAAAGAAAGCCTTTTTGAAACTAAGGGTGATCCTAAATATCTCATAGGCAAAGAACCCTCAGGGAAGTTTAAGTATGAACATATTTGTGCCTTTGTATTATCTTCAACCCCACTCAAGAGAACAGAGCTTTTGCAAGAGTTAGCCTCCAACCCAGAAACTCTACTGAATTCCTGTAGATAGTTTTTTATTTTAGCAATTGAATCCATGTCAGCTCTACAGAAGAGTAACAAATCATCAGCGAAAATCAAGTGTGTAATCCCCATCCTAACACATTTTGGATGATACTTGAACATATTTTTAGTACTGAGGGTTTTGAGTTTCCTGGATAGATATTCCATTCCAAGCACAAACAAATAAGGAGACAATGAATCTCCTTGCCTCAATCCTCTAGCTCCCTTAAAGTATCCATGTAACGAACCATTAATCGATAAAGAGAACTTAGCTGTAGAGATACATTCCATCACCCATGTGACCAAATTTTCAGGGAATCCCAAACTTGTCAACATATACTTGATAAAACTCTAGTTAATAGTGTCAAAAGCCTTTCTTAAATTAATGTTGAGGACAGCTCTTGGAGAGACTTTCTTTCTGCTATAATGCTTTAATAGCTCATGTGCTAGGAGAATATTGTTTGAAATAAGTCTACCCTTAACAAATGCACTTTGTGCATTATCAATCAGAAAACCAATCACATTCTGAATTCTGGTGGCAATGATTTTAGATATTATTTTGTACACACAGTTGCAACAAGAAATAGGTCTATAGTCAGATGGAGATCTGGGGTTGAGGACTTTAGGCACTAAAGTGATAGAGGTTGAGTTGAAGGTGCCAAGGAGCTTACCAGTGTAGAAGAATTCACCCACTGCTTTACACATATCATCTTTAATAATATCACAGGCAGCTTTGAAGAATGATGCACTGAAACCATCAGGACCAGGGCTTTTATCATCAGACATAGTAAAAACTGCTTGCTTAATTTCCTCCCTAGTGACAGGAGAGCCAAGAATTTCTCTTTGATTTGATGAGAGGACAAGGCCATTTGCTATAGTATCAAGATCAGGCTCAGAAGAAATACCAGAAAATCCCAATAGACTCTTGTAATAGTTAATAAGCTTAGTGATAATTGTATCCATATCAGATATTCTATTACCATCCTCAGTATACATGGACAATACCCTATTTTGATGTCTTCTAGCTTTCATAGTTGAGTGGAAGAAATGAGAGGATTTATCTCCATGTATAGCCCATTTGATGTTTGCTTTCTGTCTATAAAAGGATTCTTCACAATGCAACAGTAAGGAATATTTCTTTAAGCATTCTTTCTCCATAGAAATAAGATGAGAGTTTAATAGATCATTGGTCATCATGTTCTGAATATCAGACAACTCTTGCTTGGCTCTTAACACTTGCTCACTTATATTCATGAAGTGTCTTTTATTTAATTCTTTGAGTGCAGGCTTGAGCATCTTCAGCTTGGAAGATAGCTTGAACATATAATAACCTTGCACATCCTGTTCCCAAATAGATCTGACAATAGAGAGGAACTCAGGGTGCTTTGTCCACATATTGAAAAACTTGAATGACTTTTTCCCTTGGAAATCATCATCCCCAACTGAAATGAGAGCTGGAGAATGCTCTGAGCAAGCTGGCTGCAAAAAATCTGCTTGACTATAAGTATATTGTGAGATCCATAGATCATTGATCAACACTCTATCCAATCTACTCCATACTCTTGTATCAGCCTCTTATTTATTATTCCAAGTGTAAAAACACCCGGTAGTCTTAATGTGTACTAGTTGATTAGAGGAAATAAAATGCTGGAAGTCTTCAGTATCAGAATCTGATATTGGTGCACCCCCAACTTTTCATCACCACAGAGAATAGCATTGAAGTCACCCCCAATTAACCAAGGGCAATTAACTGATGGCTTGAAACTTTGAAGATCCTGCCATAGTGCTTTCCTTCCCTCTCTTTGGTTAAGAGCATAAACTACAGTCATCAAACAAGAAAATCTGCCATCTCTAGCATGGACTGAGCCTGTCATATATTGAACAGAACCTTTGACACACTGAAAAGAGATAATGTCACTATTCCAAAGAATCCAAATCCTCCTATTACCTGCTTCTTGAACATTAGAAGTCCATTCCCAATTTTTTGCAATTTTTTGAGCTATTTTATCCATTTTCTCTATAGAAAGCTTTGTTTCTAAAAGAGCTATAAAAGATAATTTGTACTCATGAATGAATTGCTTGACTATTAAATGCTTAGGGGACTTATTAAAGCCCCTAATATTCCAGATAGCAAAGTGCATTATTGCTTTCCACCCCTGTCAATATAACAGGGATCAAAATCAAGAATCTGTGAGTCCAGAGGGGAGAAATGAGATGCATGTGTTAAATTCCCAGAAGCTCTAGTTAATACTCTTCTTGCTACATTTGTCCTATTGACACTTGTAAACCCAGAAGCATTGACTGTTAGGGAAGAAAATTGATGAAATGTTGATAGTCCAGAACTCCCAAGTCTTATACTCTGAATATCAGACATCATGGCCTGTGCATGTTTCACAGGTACAGTAGAGTTGACATAAGTTTGTCTTTTATCAGGTGGTACTTGTTGTATACTTTTCCCAGCATCAATTCTCTTATTAGTCTCAGATACTATTTGTGCATGTTTCCCCCCAGATGCATCTATAGTCGGACAATCAAAACATGCACAGTTATAGAATTTTCTGGCAGTGCACCTTTTTCTTGTGCATGTTCATCAATTTTTTTTCATTCTATTGACTGGAACCCACATTTTCTTGACCTTTTGCCTTCTACAATTTTCAGTTTCATGGCCAATAATGTTGCAGTTTAAACACCACCTAGGCTTGAGTTCATAGATAACCCTTTGACTGTATTTTTTTCTCATCTGGCCCTTGAAACTCAACTAGGTCTGGCAGAGGATCCTTCAGGGGTAATTGCACCTCAATTAATACTCTAGCATAGCTCAGTCTCTGTCTAGTAGCAGTAAGCATATCAGTTGTTATAGGACGTCCAATTAAACTAGAGATTTTGCTAATTCCTGTAGTACTCCACAAATTGAGTTTCAGATTTGGGAGCTGAATCCACATTGGATAAGAACAGTCTTGGATATTCTCCATTTCAACTTCAATAGACCATGACTTTAGCATCAAAGGCCTAGAGCCAAAGAACCAAGGCCCAGCTTCCAACACCTCCCTCATCTGTTGTTCAGATTGAAAATCAAATAGAAAGACCCCTTGCTTGAGCAAAGAAATCATAGGAATTGATATTCTACCCCAAACTTTGCTTATATATGATTCCATAGATCTGAACTTTACATTCAGCCCTATAACGTGTCCAATTAAGGAATACTTCCAATAATCTTCACCCTCTCTCCATTCTTCAGCAGTGAAAGAAACAACAGCAGAGGGAGAGGCTGAAATAAAATTGAGAGCAAGTCATTTACCTGGTTTCCTATTATCTGCAAATAGACCCACAAAAGATTTCTTAGTCCCCTCTTTGTTAAGCTCTTCACCCTGAGCTGATTCCTTTATATTGCTTTTCCCCTCTCCTTCCAGATTGAGTTTTCCAGATCTATCCCCTTTTTCAAAAGAAGGGGAAGAAATCTCAAAATTCTCAGCCCTTATCCTCTCATTTGTAGATTGAGCAACAAAAGGGGTAACAATCTCAATTTCATCATCAATCATCCCCGTTGATTCATTTGATTCATTTAATTCATTAATCAACTCTTGTTCCATTTCATCAGCCCAAGAGGATGAATTAGGAGTCTCACCTAGCTGACGAGCAGGAACTAGACCAGATCTGAGCAGGCCTGGTTCAGAAATTAACCTTGTTTTAGTCAGGACCTCCTCCATTAGCATTTTCTTCTTAGCTCCCTTAGGTCCAGTGCTTTCCATATCCATTAATGCTATGGAAGAAGCTCGTAACTCCTTTACTGTTTCATTGCTTTCCTTAGCTTCATTTGTCTCCATTGATCCCTCAGATCCCTCAGCAGCACCCACAGAGGATGAAGAAGGATAGACAAAGATCGAATCCCTTAATGTAGCATCGACGATCCTCTTGTTTCCATTCTTCTTCTTCTTCATACAAGATCCAGGTAGTGGCGCACAATAGCGGGAGAAAAATCGCCCGCTAAAATGCACCTAACTAACTGCCCCTTCAAGAAGAAGGAAATTTTAGTTTACCTATCTCTTAGTATTGCTCATCTACGGTGACCGGTGGATTTCAATTGAAGGCTTTTTCTCTTGAGGAAGCTATTTCGGATTGATCTCGGGACAAATTATTATAGAAACTCGGAAAGCGTTTCAGGTATTCTTCTAGTTTTTAATCAATTTTGATTAATAGTCATGATATGTTTTTTCCGCTGCGTTGTATGTCATGATTCTAACAGATGGTATCAGAGCGGGTTTAGAATCTAATTTGTAATAATTTAATCGGATTAAATTATCTTATTTTGATCTATTTTCAAATTATTTAATTGGATTAAATTAAAAAAATTGATTGGAAATTTTGGGTACCGTTCATCTGCCTAGAATACTGTTCATAGCCGGCGCCACTGTTCAACTGTCGGGAACAATGTTCATCGGTCGGGGCGCTGTTCATCTACCGCGGTTACTGTTCATCGGGTTACTATTCATCTCAGTTTAATTTGTTAAACTGAAATTAATTAGATTAAATTAAATTCATCGGGTTACTATTCATCTCAGTTTAATTTGTTAAACTGAAATTAATTAGATTAAATTAAAAGTTTAATTAGATCAAAATATGGTGTTGTTGTTCAAGGGTTATGATTATTTGATTGGATTAAATTAAATTTTGATTAAGATCAAAATTAGTGGTCGACACTGTTCATCGGTGAATACTGTCCACGGGTTACTGTTCATCCGAGAATTTTTTTTTTTTTGATAAAGATCAATTGAAGTTTTTTGATATGATCATGATTATGGTTCTTTGATTAGATCAAGTATTTTGGTTATTTAATTTGATTAGATGTGATCTAATTGGGTTCTTTATTAAAAAAAAACCTTTGCCATCCCCGACGGTGGCCGGCCACCCGCCGGACAACCCGCCACCGGCCATGGGTGGCGGCGGCGGCCCCGAACCGCCATTCTTCAGTTGTTGAGGCTGTTTGCCTCTCCTATTCTTCAGATCCGTGTTGTAGCGGACCCCGTCCGTGGACTCTATTGCTTTGGCGAATTGCCGCGCAAGGCGTTGACGTCGCCTCTGGCGGGCTCTCTTCGAGAGAGTCACAGGCGGCCCCAAACCCTAGCAAAAACCCTAGACCTAAAAACCTCCTTCATGGGTTGAAGGAGAAGTTTAATGGGTTTACAACTCTTAATAGGTTTACAAATCTATTCTATCTTCAATTGTTATGGATAGAGTTCTAAATAATTATGAATTGTTTAAAGTTAAAATCTCTAAGACTAGTATAATCCTAT